AGTTTTTCAGTGATGGGCCACGATTCAAAACCCAATAGGTAAGTATGGGGATAAAGATCGACTTGAATATTGAGAGCTTAGTTTTCAGCCTGAGATCTGCGTTAGCCACAACGGGTCGGGCTAGTTCACGCAGAACGTCACTATCTACTCCAATTCGCCGGTCGATCTTTTCCTCCAACTTTCCATCACTACTGAACACAACTCGGGCAGTAATTTTACTCCGTTCCATTTTTTAAACTGCTGATGATTTTTATAGTAGCACTTTTAATGTTTCGTAGACAGGACTGAGAAATTTTTCAAAACTGAAAATAGATGTTTTCTGCTTGTGTATGAAAATTTGGATTCTCTGTGGTATATAATGAAATAGCAGATCATATTATATATTAAATGGAAAATATAATGTAACAAACTATGACAAGTCTTACTAAAAACAGAATCAATTATATGGAAATATGTTTCATTGATATCTCTGAGTGAAATCAAATTACCTTCACCTAGAACTAACTGTATTTTGGCAATCTGGCAGCCATGTCCTTATTTGACCTCGTGAAATACCTTGATAACATTAAAACAACACAACTGAGGGTAAAATAAAGTACAAAAGACTGTTTCTACTCCAATCTGATAAACAGAAAAATAAGGTCCAACACTTTCCCAGAGTGGCTTGCTAGAGAGAACTCCGCATGAAATTGAAGTGGGAAAAATTCCACCCACCAACCAGGAGATTGGATGGACATCCGAAAGCAACTACGTTAAGTTACATCTGTCTCCTACAACATTCTCAGAGGAAAAAACTTATGGTGTTAATGTGGAAAAATCATGACCTTGAGGTCAAGCAGTCATTAAAATTCAAGAACAGTGCCTTGTTTAAATGGTAAGCATCACATTAAAGTAAATGAACACTTCATTGTGCTTTCAACAGGTTTGAGAAAATTATGACGAATTAAGCGAAATTACAATGGTACCAATTTAATGCATTGACAACAGTCTCTTCAGTCGCAATCAGGGTTCATTTCCAAATGTACCATGAAGTCTGAAGCAGATAGAACACTCGAAATGACATGAAAAATTTCTTTGGATATCTAGCTTGAGAACTGCAGTCATTGAAACAGACGTTGTTGTCAAACGTGACTTTAGGTATCAAGCATGAGCTATATTATAATGCTACAAACAGACTGAATAATATATTAGTGCGTCGTTGGTTCTAAAGGCCTAGCAGATAGTGCATTTGAGCTGGACATGCAGTACTTGCAATGCACTTTAATGCTATGCTGACTGTGACGTAGTTTAAAAGCACCATCTGAGGTCCATTAACCTCAAAGACTCCTGGAGTCTATGGGATCAAGAGCGCTTCTTTACTGTGTTGTATAAATGCAGACTAATTATGTTTATTTATGAATTTATGAAATTGCGGTGCACTTAGTTTGGCTCACTGGCGGAGACGGTTAGCGATATACGTCGATTCGTCGACTGTGACCCTCGTGGGCGGACTAGTCCGCTTGGTCGCCAATTGCCACGGTTGGAAGATTATATCAGTAGGCGGAAAGGCCCCACTGAGGAAGCAGTGGCGAAGCCGAGGGCAATAGCGAACTTTTCCAGATCGATATGATCTGTCATCGATTACCAGCCGGCCAGAGATCCAAGTAATGTGATTATAGAATATAAATTATAAGTATATATCACGTTTGTCCTGCAATGGTGTTGCGAGCGCTCATAGAAACATTTTCTGTAAACCTTTTTAAACCGAGTTTAGATCATAGAAAAGGTAAGGACTTGTGGAAAGCCCTATTAGAGTTAATTAATTTGTGCAAGAGTAAATTCTGGCATTTCTGGTTTAGCTGAAACTGTGGAAGCAGGGCAGAAATATTGTCTATAGCCGCTTTTTCTCGGCACTGTGTGATGAAATCCAAAGAGACAAGCCTTGAGAAGCAAATGCGTTGAAACAGTGAACGTATGCCAGTTCTAATCTGTTGAAAGCCCCACG